TTCCTACCCCATAACTTACAACTACTGGATTCTGATCATAGTACTTCAACATCTCTAGGGATCTACAATCAACTTCCTAAAATGCCAGAGCCATGAACCAGAGAAGTCATTACAATCACAACACTGATAAGATTACTAGGGACCATATGATTCACTGATTAATTCATTCACTTTCATTCATTCATTCAATACACATATACTGTTAAATCCTCAGTGCTGGCACAAAACTGATAAACATGGTGCTCAAAGAACAAGATAAACAAACATCCTCCCTGATGGGAACTTAAAATCACATGCATGTGTATGGCCATGCCTACACATGTGTGTCTGTCTTAAGGGTAGATGAAGGTGGAGGGTAAAGCTACTAAACAGACAAGGCAAGGCCATTTTCACCAATATTTATTGCCTAAAGTATCATAAATGGAAACATGCATAGGGCAAGGACAGCTTGTAGCACAAGGACCCAATGTCATCTGGTGGGTTCAAGGAAGGGGTGCTAGAAGAAGTGATACTTAAGCTGAGACCTGAAAGATACTTAAAAGTTGGTTGTTCATGTGGGGAGGGCAAGCACACTCCAGACAGATACACAGACAGAGACTCTGGGGCAGGATGGCACCAATGGATCAGACAGGCGTGGTCAGGGCATGGCGGGCAGAAATGAGGTCCCAGGCATCTGGTCAGTGTAGATATGTATAGGCCAGCCAATGAGTTTGGACTTTATCCTAATGGCAATGGTAAGCCCTCCATGGGTTTCTAGATGGGGGGTGGTGTTAACAATATTTTTAATTTCAAGTACATCAGTCTGGATACAGGTGAAATTCTTAAACATCATTTAAGACCCTTCATAGTCTCAACCTCTAAACACCCAGTCATGCTCTTTCATGGTACTTTCCTATGTATTGTGTCCTTTGCTTGAAATAGTTGATTCTTTCAAAACCTAATTACTGACATCCTACTACATGTCAACCCCTCATTTAGGCATTGAGACTATAGTACTCCACAAAACTATTAAAAATATGTGCTTTTGGGCCGGCCGAGTGGCGCAGTCATTAAGAGCTGGCGTGGGATGCCAGAGGGCCCCAGTTCGAATCCCACATATGAGGGCCAGTGACACTGCCCTCTACAGCTAAGATGCTGAACAACAGCTCAACCTGGAACAGGGCTGCCGTGAGTTGCTGGTGACGGTGTGGGCTGCAGCCCCTGCTGCAGTGGGTTGCCATGGGCTACCGTGTGTAGCCAGCAGCCAGTGTGAGCGGCCGTCCAGAAGCCGACAACTGATCTGCCTCGCCCGGGAAGAGCTCAATGATGGTGCCAACTTGGGCCAGTGAAGCAACGTCCTCCACAACTTGTCTGTTCCCCTTCCCCCAATTCCCCAAAAAAAAAAAAATGTGCTTTCTTCAAGTTTACATTCTATTACCTATCAATGAGTTTTCCACTGGTGAAGTGCTATTGAAACTTTCAGACCAACTCAGTGGTCACTTTTTGTATGTGTGAAGTCCTCACTTCCCTCTCCTCATATCCTGGTTATATAACTAGGGTTCCTTGATGATTGGCGTATCCCTACTCTCCCGGATACATGGGCCTGAGAACACTGTAAAGATAGAAAGAATTGTATTTACCTCTTTAATACCCTCAAGAGGGCCTGAAACGTATTAGAGGCTTATTAAATGTTTTTAAATGAGTAAACTATGTATTAGGGCTCTCCAGAGAAACAGAATAAACAGGAGATGTGCACCACACGCCCCAAGATACTCAGAGTGAGTTGGTAAACTGGACACCCAGGAGAGCCACTGGTGCAGTTCCACTCTCCAGGCTAGCAGGCTTTGGACCCAGGAAGAGAGAATGTTTCAGATTGAGTCCAAAAGCAAGAAAAAGCCATGTTCTAACTTACAGCCGGCCAGGCAAGAGGGAGTCTCTTTTGCTCAAGGAAGGGTCAGCCTTTTGGTTCTAGTCAGGCCTTCAACTGACTGGCTAAGCCCCACCCACATTGGGGAGGGCAATCTGCTTTACTCTGTCTACTGATTTAAATGGTCATCTTATCCAAAAATGGCCTCACAGGAACACCCGGGATAATGTTGGACCAAATATACAGGCACCCTGTGGTGGCCCAGTCAAGGACACATAAAATTAACAAAGACAAATATTTAAATATTATAATCTTCCAAAGGGAGGTCACAAGAAAGGCAGTAAAATCTTAATGGGAGGGGTTAGGCTTTCTTTCTCCTGGACCACAGCTTAGCTACAGAGTCAGGGTTAACAGACAGAAAAAGATACAGAATTCAAATAGCCTACATCATGAATAAGTTATTGGTTAAATTGCAAGGTTAAGCATGTTGTCCCCAAAATGGTCGCCCTGTCCTGGCAGTGCCTAAAGAATTGATACTTTTTTTTTTAACTACTGCTTCAATCCTTGCGATTGCCATTCCGTGAGGGAAAAGCACTGGTCAGCCCTAGTGGGACACTTAGTTTTAAAGTTCTTTTCAAATCTAGGACAGACACAGAAATTGACTCTTGGCAACCCTTTCAGAGCTCACCCTTCTGGCGAACCCTGGCAAAACTTGTATCATTTGCATACTAGAGGAATTCCGAATTTAATAATAACTTAAAAACAGTTGCACAGCACTGTGGATGTTCTTAATGCCACTTAGTTGTATAAATAAAAATGGTTAAAATGGTAAATTTTATGGCACGTATATTTACCACAATTTTATAAGGTAAAGGTTGTTTTAAATTCTAAAAAAACCAAAAACAAAAACCCACAGCCTGAATTGTTTATACTTGGGTGGACGACTGCTTCCAAACTCATCTTATTTTCATTAATTTCATGAAAGGACAAATACCTCTCTGTCCCAAATCTCATGTAAGAAAAGTACGCACTATTGTAGTTCCTTTTCTACTTGTTAGCATTTAAAGCATCTCGATAAGCAGGTAGAAGTGGGGGCAGAAGCTCTGTCATGCTCTTGAGGAGTTTGGTGGGGAGAAAAGGGAAACAGGAGTGCTATCTAGTCTTTTCAGTAAATGGTTTGGCCCTGAGGTCAATCTCCCTCGTTTCCATGTGACCAGCTAAACCCTATTTGAAGCTAAGAAAAAAAAAAAATTAACACTTAAGATCAGATGAACACAGACTTTAGACTGTGGCCTTAAACTTGCTAAGGAATGCCAGGTTGTGTAGAGGTTAGTGTACATGTGATGCCCAAGCGAAGCAGGCAGTGAGTTCAAACAGGCCTCGTCCAAGGGAATGCAGGATACATCACATTACGAGATGAGGAGAAAGCGAAATAAAAGGAGGACCAATAGTTCTCTCTGGTACAAAAACAGGGAATGCCTGACTTTAGGACCGTGTACATCCTCACTGCCCCAGATGCTAGGACCATATCAGATTTGGACGTGATGAGCAGCCACATCCAGCTTGATAAATTCAAGCAGATGGCATGACCTTCTTGAATGTGTCTACTTTGCTTTACAGAATTTCAAACTCAACACTTAAACTCTTTGATGTCACATCAGAGGAAGTCCTAGAAAGGAGGAAGACTGTCTTTACATATCTAGTGGTTAAGTGAAGGATGGGAAATAATTTGGAAAAAATTCAGCTCATGGTCAGAGATCCTCGTGGGGGAAAAAAAAAAAAGATGGCGCTATTCCTAGTATTCCATTTACTTCCTGGAATTCATAAGAACAAATTTTAATCTCTTGGCAGAGTATTCTGGGTAACATGCCATTTTTACATCACATTTATTTAATGTGCAAACATGCAAACTCCATAAGGACAAGGGTTTCTCTCGTATTTTTTCGTCTTGAACAGTATCTGGCTCATAAGTAGCACCAACTTTTTTTTTCTTTTTATAGTGTAGCTTTACAAAGGTCATGCCAGGACCCTAGGTCCTTGGGATTTCTTTCTCACTATATCTCTGTTATCTCTCTTTATATACATATGTATGTGTACATGTGTGTACATGTCTATATATAACTACATATATAGTCACTACACATATATATGTATATAGTTACCAAATCATTTCTATTTTAGAAAAAAATTATATTATGATACTGTCTTTGAACATCACACTTAAGCAACATACTGTTGCTGTGTATCCACCAAATGAAGCTTTAGACTCTAGGCATTAATAATATACTATACCTTAAGTACTGTTTAAGACTCGTACAGCTAAACTTGTACACAATATTGTTAACTCTTAATAAACCGATTTGGCTACCTAACGATAGAGCCCACTTATTATAGGAGTGTGGAGGTTGGTATTGGATGGTGGAGGGTTATCATAACTAGTCCGTCCCCATATCTCCCTACATGCACATATGCACACAAACACAGAGAGGTGATCTGCTTTTTAAGAATTAAAATTCAATGTACTTTTAGAAAACAGTATCGAATTATTATTATCTTTAATATTCAGAAGGTACTTCAGGGCTTTTTACAGCTTTAAGATCTATATCTTGACCATCTATTAGCATTGTAAAGGAGTATTTTCACAGCAATTTAATCTAAAATGGAACAAGCACAACTGTGTGTGTGTGTGTGTGTGTGTGTGTGTGTGTGTGTGTGTGTGTGTGTGCGCGCGCGCACACACGTGCATGTGTGTGTTACAGGCTCTAGGAGTTGCCCTTAAAATATCCCGTTTTCAATATGTTGGCTATTTTTTCCCCTGTCCGTATCGCTTACGGGACTGTTTTGGAAACAGAGAAACACATTTAAAGACATAAGCTTTCTGTTTGCTTGGGTTTGATTATCGATTGTTACAATACCCATTTAAGTTCCATTAGAAATCTTGACATTCCAATCAGAAGCCAAGCTTCTCCAATCCTATCAGTAGGCTACTCGATTGGTGGTGCAAGCAGACATATTTCCATTTTACAGATGAGGAGACATTGTCCCAGAGGTTGAAATGCTTTGGTGTAGGGCTCCCTGGGAAAAATCCCTGGCCTCTTTCGAAGTAGAACCCAGGTCTCTGGCCTCCTTTTGACCATAGCAAAAGAGTACTTACGTCATGATTTGGGTCTCCATTCCTGCCTCCACCAGAGCACCGTCGACAAAAAGGGGAACCGATGTGAAACCATACTTGTCCCAGGAGTGGCCCTCATCAAAACTCACCCTGGGTTGGAAACACATGAAAGAGACAACTGAAAATGAAACCACACTCTTCTGCAACCATCTTCTCAGGTTATTAAATTCTCCTCTGTATCTCGCTCTCCGGCAGTTTGGATTATCAATAGGCATTAATCTCCAACATCTCCCAATATTATTATGAGATTTGATCAAAACTGCATTTCCTGGCCCAGGCAGAGACAGCACCAGAGCTGCAGAAATATTTCAACATATTAGAATTAAAAAAAAAAAAAACCCAAGCAGGAGGGCTTAGAGGATGGAGTGTCACATTTTGAGTACTCAGAGTGAAACCTGAGGTTCCATTTACAGCACAATCAATTCAGCCCTTGGAGGTTTTGACACAGATAAATTGAGTAGTGTGGGGTGTACCCCATGGGAGGGGAGGTGTGTGTGTTTCAGATCAAACCTTAAAAAAAGCGATTTCCTATTTGTTCAGAATGGATGTTAAGATCATTTTCCCTCCCTGGTGGCACTTTAAGGGGCTTTCAGGGAAGAGTATTGAGTGTCTGAGGTGTTCTAGCACTGTGCCATCTTTCGTCCAATGGTAAGAGGAAAGGCTGGTCCTTTGTGGCTGCAGCATCAGAAACTCTTTAAGGAATGCTACTAATGGAGACATTTGAGTGATTCTGAATGCCTGCTTCCTTGCTTTTCTTGGTTTTATCAAGTACCTGTCTGCCATTGATTTAACCAGAGGACAGAGCCAAAAGACCATCTCCTCTGGAAAGCTTTTCCTGACACCCCTTCCACAAGGCAACTTTCTTTGCCCCATTCTGTGGGATCTTTCTTGGTCAGGTTAATTCTTAATTCTTCTCTGAGTCCACAACACAGGGTTTTCTGAATTCAACTGCAGAAACTCTATTTTCTTATAACACCCACACCTTCTCCTATAGTAGGGCTGAGTGATGGTTTCTTAACTTATCTTGAATCCCTCAATTCAACATTATAATCTTGGGAGTTCAGGGGGAGTTTATGTATATCATGTTCATTGAATAACCCTTTAACACCACCTACATATCTTTATTACAGTTCTTCTTTACTGCTATTACATATATATTATAAAAAAATATGTCTGACTTTCCCACTGAACTCTAAGCTCTTTGAGGTCAAAGACCATACCATTCATTCTGGTCCATTCCTAGTACTTAGCAGAAAAGTTGACACATGGTACTATGTAAATGTTACATGAATAAATTAATGAATAAAATAAGGAATGATTAAGAGCGCTCTTTTAATCCACCAATCATTTTTTCCAAGCATGATTTATACTGGCATTCACGAGCTGGATGCAGAAGTCTCCTTTCCCATTACTAGCCAACCTACTAAGTCCACTCCATACTTTTTATTTCTTGGTCCCTTTCAGATTCTGTCTCTGTTTCTTTCTTTCTCACTGTCTTATCCCCTCTCCTCCAATAAACTGATGTAAAAAATTAGAAAGTCAATACCTTTACCCAGCTAGAATAACTAGTCTCTCAGACAACAATTTTTGTATTTATGGTGTATCTAAATGTGGTGATAAGACAGGACTACAAAGTCAAACTGAAATCAAATTCATTTATCAAATATTTATCGCTGCCTACTCTGTGCCTGGTCTGGCAGTGGCCTCTGTTCTGGGGATACAGCCATGAACAAGAAAAGGAAGGTCCTAGCTCCATCAGAACTTGCATCCAGTTTGAGGAGACACACAGTATGCAGATAAATGGATTCATTAAGAAGTAAGTGTCATCAAGACAATTTACAACAGAGTGATGTGATGGTAGTGACTGAGCAGCTACTTTGTATTAGAAATTTAAGAACGTCCTCTCTGAGGAGATGACATTTAAAGAAGTTGCTGTGTGGGAAGAATGGAAAGATGATGAGTGGTTGCAGATTAGTGTGGGAAAGGAAGTTCGGAGAAGGAAATGGAGTTAAGAAAGCAGGGGGCTGGCCGAGTGGCGCGATGGTTAAGAACTCGCTTGGGATGCCAGAGGGCCCCGGTTCGGATCCCACATATGAGGGCCAGTGACACTGCCCTCCACAGCTAAGATGCTGAACAACAGCTCAACCTGGAGCTGGGCTGCCATGAGTCGCCCGCGACGGCGTAGGCTGCAGTCCCTGTGGCAGTGGGTTGCCATGGGCTACCATATGTAGCCAGCAGCCAGCTTGAGTGGCCAGCAGCCGCAGTGAGCGGCCGTCCAGAAGCCGGCAACTGATCTGCCTCTCCCGGGAAGAGCGCAATGATGGTGCCAACTTGGGCCAGTGAAGCAACATCCTCCACAACTAGATTGAAGAACAAGATGACAGCAACTTGTCTGTTCCCCTTCCCCCAATTCCCCAGCACTGTTCCCATCCCCCAATTCCCCCAATTAAAAAAAAAAAAAAAAAAAGAAAAAGAAAAAGAAAGCAGGGCTCGCCAGACTAGAAAGGGCCATTTTTCCGGTTGTAATGGGAAAGATATGATTTGATTTAAACTTTAAAATTTAACTTTTATTTCTCTGTGGTGAATGGATTGTCAGGAACCAAAGCGGGTGCAAGGAGATAAACTGGAGGGCGGCGTAGTGATTGTAAGAAAGCAAGTAAGAGACGGGGCTTGGATAAAGGTTATAACAGTGGAGACGGAAAGAGGTGGAAAGACGTAGGATACTTTTAGAGGTTAAGTCAATAGAATTTGGTGAGGGAATGTATAGATGGCATGAGTAAAAGAAAGAAATCATAAACAATGTGAATTTTGGGGGGTTAAGCAATTGAGGTAGGGAAACAGAAAGACAAGGAGAAACAAAGCCTTTTGTTTGTTTGTTTGTTTGTTTCTGTTTGCTCCACAGAAAGCTTAGAAGCTTTTTGGAGTTCCAGGTTGTGGCACTGTCAAGGAAAGCTTTGGAGGAATGGATTTGGATTCCTTGGGAGTGATCAAAGCTGGGAATGTAGATTTAGAAGTCACTGATAAGGAAGGGCAAATTAAAGAGCACAATGCTTAAGGGGAAAAAAAAAAAAAAGCTCCACAGCATTCCACAGCAGTCACTGTGGAAGGCAGGGGCAGTGCCGGCAGTGCAGAGGCGCCTCAAAAAATTAAGAATAGAATTATCTATGACCCAGCAATCCCTCTCCTGGGTATATACCTAAAAAATCTGAAAACATTTATCCATAAAGATATATGTGCTCCGATGTTCATTATAGCTTTATTTACAGTGGCCAAGACATGGAAACAATCAAAGTGTCCTTCGATAGATGATTGGATAAAAAGATGTAATATATATATATATATATATATACACACACACACACACACACACACACACACAATGGGATATTATTCTGCCATAAGAAAAGATGAAATAGTGCCATTTGCAACAACATGGATGGATCTTGAGATTATTATGCTAAGCAGAATAAGTCAGACAGAAAAATTCGAGAGCCATATGATTTCACTGATATGTGGGATATAAAACTGAAAGCAACAAAGGAACAAGACAAACAAAGAAACAAAAACTCATAGAAACAAACAATAGTTTAGTGGTCATCAGAGGGTAAGGGGGGAGGGAGGTGGTAGATGAGGGTAAACGGGATCAAATCTATGGTGATGGAAGGAGAACTGACTCTGGGTGGTGAACACACAATGTGATATATAGATGACATATTACAGAACTGTATACCTGAAACCTATGTAACTTTACTAACAATTGTCACCTGAATATATTATACTTTAATTTAAAGAAAGAAAGGAAAAAAGAGCTCCACAGCAGGAGAAAGAGGAGAAAGGAAAATAATAATAAGCTAAAATAACAAACTGGGGTCATTGTCAACCACAAAGTATTTCTCAGCAACAGCACTATTGTGAGAGGTAATCAAGCCACTGAGTCCAGTATATGTTCACAGAGAGATAACACGCATAATAAATTACCCTTCTACCAGATCCTAAATACTATGTTCAGTTTCAATCATTGCAGAAAACTGACAATCAATATGATTAAAAGTGAAAAACAAAAAAGTAGGTTGTTCTAGAAATAGGTTCTATGAATTGAAAATGGCATAGGGAAAAGAAGCATGGAACTGAATTAATTATTATTGCTTTTTTATTTTTGTAAGAAAGCTTTGAAACAGTTAAACAAATAAACAAACAAAAACAACCCTAGCTAATGACTACTGAAAAGGGGTAATATCTGTGAAGGACATCTGAGAGAATATAGTTAGATACACGGAAACATCAATTAAAAATACAGATAGAATAAGGGAGAAAAGATTTCCATTCTTGTAATTCTTCTAAAGATCATAGTCAAGTATATGTGTGCAAGAACATAAGCCCCAAAGTATTTTGCCTGTTCATTGATATATCCCAACCCCTATTCTAATGCTAAATAAATAGTATAAGCTCAATGAATATGTGAGGAACAAATGAACAAATGCACAGAATCTGTCTTGGGTTGTATATCTGATCATTTTCTAGATCCTATAAAGACTAGGCAAAGAAATCTCCTAAGGTCCTTCTCCGCTGTATTTCTTTCCATGGCTCTGAAAATCACATGCAGTTCTGGAGCAGACATTCTGCATAGATGTGGCCAGCAGAACAGGGACTGATGGATAGAAATCACAAGTAGGTTGATTATTGCTCAGCACAAAAAACAATCTTTCTAAAAAACAAAACCATTATACAAGATGGGAACCTCTCTGTCTTGGGTATTTGCAAGTTGGTCAGCATTGTGGTTTCCTGGTGCAGTAGCGTGATCATCTTAGGTGTCACAGAGGTATCTGCTATACTAGTTGCGAAAATAGACATGTTCTCTAAGACCCTTCCTTGCGCCATTGGTCTATGACTATATGATACTGAGATGAGATTTACTGAAAGGAACAGAATCTTCCAAGAACAACCAGAACCCTCCCTGGAAATCTCTAGTACAGAAATAGACTTGACTTGGTCATTGAGGGTCAACGTTCCTCCCTTTGGTGAGATGCATTGTTCCTTTTTATTTTATTGCAATGTATGAGGTTGGTGGCATTTTAGCCCCCTGGAAGTTCTTCAGAATAGCACATGCACTTTCCCTTCTCAGAGGCATGGATTACAACTATTGTTTTCATGTGAATATTTCTCTGAATAAAAAAAAATGCTCACAACCATTTATAGAAGAACAAAGGAACAAAGAAGGCCAGGTAATGTTGTTTCACTTTCTGCTAACAAGAGCATCCCAATAAAAGGAGACACTGACAGCTTGTCAGGACTAAGCAAACAGTAGGGCCCCGTCTACCTGCCGACTGTCTATTGTGAGGTGTCATTAGAGCTCTGCATTCCATGGGGCTCCATTGTTCATTTCACTCTAATGTTCTAAGGTAAAAGGTAATACTGGAAGGCAGGCTCACCTGAAATGACATTTTGGTTCTAATCCCTATGCATCCAAATGTACATGGTCACAAATAGATGGGCTCATTTGTATGCTGTTTTGTCTTCATGCACTTCTAGCTCCCTATCATTCCAGTTTATAGGAAATAGCATGCCTTGTTAGCCTAGCTAAAGTCTCCCCAGCTTTTCAATTATGACTCCTATTTTCTCTGAAAAGCAATGTAGCTATTATTTAAATTTGAGAGCCACTATACCTTTGTGTGAGAGTGGCTATGCTGGTGTCTTTTTCATACACACACACACACACACACACACACACACACACACACACTGTATATATGTGTGTCTATATACACATACACACAAATACATATACACATACAAAATAATGTCAGTCTGAGACATACAATAGAAAATAACAATGAACTGATTACTTAATCTTTCTTCCACTTAAAATGAGCTATGTGCTTATCTTGAAGGTTGTGGCTTAATTAGAAGCTACTGGTAATGAAGAAACTGTGTTTGAGTTTCACGAGCTTACAATTCATAAGCAGGAGACAGAGTCAGTTAAGAATTTTGTAAGGCAGCACTAATGATAATGGTATGGGCGAGCCCTTACAAAACACTCACTTGGCCTTTGAAACAGAAGTGCAAAGGAGAATCCCTGAATGAGTCTTTGGGCTGGTTATTTCCTAACACACTCAATAGCTGTCATTTAACCATTGCAGGTATTATTTCAGAAAGGCATTCCTAGATAAGCAAGTAAGCAGAGATGGTGGGTGGTGCCCAAGTGCAGGGAGACATTTGCAGCATTTATGAAAAATGACAGTGTCAACATCCTTTATATAGAGAAAATTCTATCTCCAAAGTTTAGTCTGAAAAATCATTTTTAATATTGCGTAAGTTGCACTAAGCCAACAAATGCAGGGGGTTATTATCATTATTATTATCAGGGGACATTCAATGGGAGTGCAGCTTTTTTTTTCTGAGTTCTATAAATATTTTTTTCTTTTTTACCAACAAAAGAGATATGTGTTAGAACAAAGGAAAACTCAAACTTTGTGTTGATGACTTTGAAAGGCATGATTTGATCCTGAGTGAATATGAATTTATTTTTCCAACTTAGATGGTTTCCCTCCAGAATATCCCAGACAAGCGCTCCTTTTGGACGTGATCAGGTCTCTGGAGAGAAGCTATCACAGAACAGACTGAACAGTCAGATGTAAGGATGCGAAGATTCACCAAAGCCAAAATGCTCTCTGGTCCCGCTGCTCCATACGCTCCTTCCATACCAAGTCTCCCCTTCTACCACCAAAAGGAAATAACAGCAACAGCAATTTCTTTCTTTCTTAAAACAAGGACAATTTTGCTCAAAAGGCTCTAAAAATCAATCGTTAAGTAAATACTAGGTTCCTACCATAATGAAGGAGGAAGCGCAGGAGGGGATGGTCAAGTGTAAGATGAAGTTGCCACCCTCTTCTACTCGGACTTCAATGGAAGAAACCTGCCCAGCTATATCTGCCTGCAGAGCATTTATCAATTGTCTCATTGCAATTTAGATGGAGGCTCGTAAAATATCATGATAGGGGCTAAGAACTGTTGCGTTTCTCAGTTAAAACACAAACAAACAAACAAACAAACTTGTTTTAAGAGTCAAGTTGTCTCTTCTGAGAGTGCAAGTCCTCCTCAGCCCTCAACAGAGGGAGCTGTTCCCTACACAGAGAGAGAGAGGTCCTTATAGTGGAAGGAATTACCTACAGGCTCAATCTGAACCCCATAAACTAGCATTTAAGTTCTTCTGAGTCCTATCCACCCTTACTTACTCACGTTCTTGATTCCAACCAAATATAGTCTTCTGAAAACTCCCTACATTACCCGAATTCCTGGCTTTGGTCAGAGTTTTCTCTTCCCTTGGCTTGCCTCCCATCACCCCTCCTACTCCTGGCATACTTTTTTCAAGGATCGGCCCCCACGCCTCCTACCGCATGAAATCCCCTTACGGATCAGGCAGGACTCCATCCTCCTCAGGATTCCAGCAATACGTACATCCAATACCCTTTAACAGGTAATGCTTTCATTTATGGTGATATGTGAACTAATTCCTTGTCTTGACTATGATCTCCCAGAAGGCCTGGACCATGTGAGAAGCTTCTGTGTACTCATTAAAGTGTCTAAAAATTGGCAGTTAAAACAGAAGAGCGTCCATGACAGAGACCCAACTTGTTGCTGCCACGTACTCACTGTGTAGCCTTGAGAAAGGTGTTTAATATGTCTGCATCTCAATGTCATTATAAATATTGTGATAAAAAGAATGCCCACATGCATAGGGTTGTTTCAAGAATTAACTTAAGTGATTCATGTCAAGAATTTAGAACAGTGTCTGGAATGGAATAATCCCTCAGTAAATGCTGTCATTAATACCAAGTAATTCCAAGCCTCTGATACTACCCAAAAGGTATGTAATCAGTAGTAAAAGAGTGATAAACAATTGCATTGGGAACTTTTACAGGCTCATTCTTGAGTTGGTAGAGTACTTTTCTTACACACAGCTTCATGCATCTTTTTAAAATTTATTCTCATAATCTCTAAGAAGATATAGTTAGTGGTAGGTGTAATCATTTTTACTTTATGTTAGGTTGAGCTCAAAGAAACTAACAATATTTGATCATTTTGACTCACAAAAATGCCAATTTCACATGGTTTAACTTAATAAATGGCCAGACTGAGTGAACTCTTCTTCAGTCCTTGCCAAGATAGCTAACACTTGGATTTGGTACCCGGGGATCCTTTGCTTTTTCTTGATTTCAATATGATGCTTTAGAGTAAGTAAAACTCTTACTCTAAAAACTCTTACCCAACAAATCATGTTCTTGGTACTTAAACTAGATTCCATCTTCCAGCCCACGGCTAATTCAACCCCCACTAAACTCAAGGTAGCATATTCTCTACCACCAAATATTCACTTAGCTGAATCAAAAGCCTGATATTCTTTCCCTTCAGGATATAAACACACAAGAGACTTATCCAACCCCTGCCCAAAACAAAAACAAGCAACAGCCACAACATCATCATCCTTATAATCATCATCCTAATAATATATCTTCACTCAGCTTTGTCCTCACTGGGGGGTCTTGTATATGTACACTTAACTTCATTCCATAACCTACTTTCCTTAGAAAACTTATCTACTCTGTCTCTACTTTATCCTATTACTTATCACTCATTCATTCATTCATTCATTCATTCATTCATAAACCTACTGCAATCTATCTACCTTTCAACCTCACCTCTCTTTTGAATTCACTCACAAAAATCACCAATGACCTTCTATATTGCTTAATCCTAGATTGATTTTCACTCCATAACTGACTTGATCTGATTATAGAATTTAGTGCTCTTTATATCATCCCTTCCTTCAGCATCCATGAAAATATTTCTCCTGGGTTTTTATCTTTTTGGCTATTTCTCCTTAGTCTGTTCTATAATCTCTTAGTCCGCTCTGTTTGTTGGTATTCACCTATGTTCCATAGGAGTCCAGTGTTTCTTCATGTTGTACCTACTCTCCTGAGACATTGAGCCCACTGCCATGACTTTACCATCTACTGGCTAAATGGCTACATCTAGAGTGTCTCTCCTAACTTTCAGATGACTATGTCTGATAACTAATGGTCATCTCTGCTTGAATATTCATAGTCATCTCAAACTCAACTTATCTTGAATTGAACTTAGTATCTGCTTCATGCACCTAACCCTCTTGAAGCAATTTCTATCTCCCATATTTTGGGTTCTTAATCTTGTCTGCTTGAATTCAGAGCTCCTTCCTGCTCTTTTTGGCCTTATCAGAGCACCTATTCTTGCCACCTCACCCTATTGATCATACTTCCCCATCTAAATTACCTGGCCTACTTCTGTTACCTAAGAGATAAATGATGTAATGTATATTAGGTGGATGGATGGATGGATGAATAGATGGATGAAGAAATGGGCACAAAACCATGCAGAATAACTTGCCCCAACCCTTTTCACTACAAACGTTTCTCATTAATAGGGTAGGGAGCTCTCCTTACCACAAATGCCTGACTGGCAGAGGTGTGTGTTTCATGGCCACGAGGGCGCCACCCCAGTCTAGGAACCAGACATTGTACTCTTCATCAAAGATCTGGAACAACAACAACAACAACAATCATAGCAATACCTTACATTTGCATAGCGCTTGACTGTTTACAAAGTCTTTCACATACATTGTTTCTTCTAGATTCTGAGCCTTCCAACAACCCTATCAGGCAGTTTGGCAAATACTATCAATCCCATTTAATAGATGAAGAAATGGGCTTACGGAGGACAAAAAACTCTCCCTGGGCTAAGGAAATGACATTTCCATAGCTCTTTCCACTAACGCTGTAAACCAGTATGCTACAATAAGGGGAGGACTCAGCTAGATAATCCAAAGGGAAATGTAGCTTCCAAAAAGCTTGTCTGTCTTTATCTTAGCAGGTTACCACTCAGCTCTCTCTTCTTCCTCACCTATTCATATATGAGATAATTTATAAATGGCCTGTGTCTCACAGTGCTTTATAAATTACCTAAGAAGTTAAAACACATTTCTCTAGAAAGTATGGTAGTCATGATGACCAAGTTCTTAGGCTTAGCCATCACCTCCTAGGTTCCCCTGAAAGAGGGATGAAGACCTAAATTTGGTGCTTGAGGATCCTTACTCTAAATGCTCATTGGAACATAGTAGTACTTCCAGGGACCTAAAGCTATTCATTCTTTGGTTTATCCATTTGTCCATCACCTATTAACCCATCGCCTTACTCATTCACTCACTTAGTGATCCATCCATCCATCTATGTAGGCATTTACTAAGCATCTACAAGGTTCTGAGCTAAGAGGACTTCAGACGTAATCCCACATATAACAATGGTTCTATTATATATGACTTTCAAATCTCCAACCTGAAACAGGAAAAAACATTTCTCCAGCAGACAACCAATCCCCTACTTTAGATCTTCTAGAGGGAAGTGGAATTGGAGAATTCCTCTAGCTTTTAAGCACTGATGATGGCTCTTACAGCCTGGGAGGAGAGGTTGGGATGGTGGGCTAAGTGAGAAGTACTAGACGGGGTAAGGAGGCATTGGCAGATTTGAAAAGGAGGAAGTAGAAGGAATGGGGCCTCCTACACATATGCTCCAGGGAACACTATAGAAAAAAGTGAGTTTCCTTTCCTCATTGGTTTCCTTTCCCATATTTGACTTTTAAGGAAAAGAAATATGTCCATACTAATGGTTAGTCTTAGTGTACAAAGACATAAAGTGAATTCATTAATATTTCAGATATGATCATAGACTCTGGACCTGTAATGCTGACATTTTCTCTCCAGAGCTCACAGGTGGACTCTGTGATAAGACATGTAATGAAGATGCTAGAAGTGTGAGGATAAGAACTAAATGAAGGTTCTTGACAGGAGAGAGAAGTGATTCTGCTCACTTTCTTCTTGATACTATCATTCTGGCCACTGCCAACTCTTGCCCTGTCCAGTACTAGAGTGGAAACTGGAATCCTTAGCTGTTTGGGAAAACAGGAAAGAAAACCTAAGCAGTGACAGCACAACGAAGGAATGTCGCAGTCACCACTTGGCTATGTGAGCTATTTCTTGAGTTGGAGGGACAATGGTTTGTCTCTTTGGAGTTTCTGTACTAGGAGAATTTGCATTCCAGCTTCCATCCTCATTTGGCACTAATCATTAGAGGATCTTGTATTTTGAAGGTATGTTTCTATTTCTGTGTCTTTTCCTTATCCACCTGATTATGACCTTGTAAGAATCTTAACTTATTCTTTACTATATGCCTTGTAGTATTATAAAGGGTTGTGTGTCTAGTAGGTCCTTGGTAAAAATTTTTTGGTAGTGGCAGTGGAGACAGTGGTGGCAATGGGGGTGGTGATGATGATGTTCGTGACAGTGATGATAATCTTCATTAAGGGATCCAAACAGGAACTTATAAAACTAAATCTCAGATGGTGACTTCACTATATCATCAAGATATTCAGTGCTCTTTCCTTTTCTTCCCCAGGTAGAAACCTTATTACCTTTAAGACTGAATAAAATACTAGCTCTTTTTGTGACGTCTTTCCCGGTATCCCCAAAGTAAGCCCACTCTCCTTTTTCTCTGCATGCTCATAATGCCACTAAATATAGTCAGCCTAAGCTCTAGTGAGCCATTTATAAGCCCATTTTCTCTACTTAATTTTGAACTCCTTGAGGAAAGAGATCTGAGGTATTCAACTGCCTCCTCGGTTTTGTACTTGACGCCTAGTTGACATTGTACAAATCTGCATTGTCCAACAGAGTAGCCACAGGAGGTTACTCAAATGTAAATTGATGAAAACAAATAAAATTAAGAATTCAGTTCCACTGTCACACCAGCTACATTTTAAGTGCTGAACAACACACATGGGAGAGCATAGACACAGAACATTTCCATCACTGCTGAATGTTCTATTGGACAGTGCTGCTACAAATGCTTGTACAATTGAATTACTTTTTCATGTAGTCATAGATCTATAAAACTGTGTCAAACTCACTTATGGCTGGACCTACACAATACTTAACTGCAGACGTCCATGGCTTAGCTGGTTTAGTAGGCTACCCCCTTCATCTTGCAGATAAAGAAACAAAGCCAGAAAGATGAAGAGACCTGCTTGCCAAGATCCTATGGCACATTAATGATAGAAACCATTTTATCGGCTGTATTCTCAGCAACCAGCACAGAACTTAGCATCCAGTAGCTGTTCCATACGTATTGCTGAATAAAATAATGAAAGAAGTGGGAAAATTCCAGTTCTTCCTATTTCCTTTCCCAGTGCTCTTCCCATTTGATTCCCTTGCCCATCCAGAATGCCAGCCCAATTGCCAGACTGAGCAGCTGATTCCATTTCTTTACAACTACAAAGTCATCAAAAGCCTGGGAGTCTATAGGAAGGAGAGAAGTTGGCAGCAATTGTCGTAAATCTGTCTCTCCCTCCCCAGAATCTCCCAGTTACCTGTCTCCACGTGTTGCCCCCATCAGAAGAAATGAAGACACCGATATCAGTATATGAGAGCTCTGGGCCAATGTTCCCTGAAACATAAGCAGAGGAGATTTGAAATTGTCAGACAGTTTAGAGGTTACATGTGCTTGGGGTTTGGGGAGAGGGCAGCAGGAGGCAAAGGTTTTCCAAATGATGTGTAGAGTTGATTTGTGCAAGCTCTTCCTTAGTGTCATATCAAAAAATCCACAAGATAGACCCAGTATGGGACAAAGTAAATAACATAACAGGAATGCATCTTTAAATGATAAAACTCAAACACCAAATATCGATTAGCTTAGATCTCTTGAACTATTCATTCTGTATACCACTAATCTCTTAAAAACTGATTTTGACAAGGGTTCCCCAAGGTATCAAAGAATAGAAGAGTAGACACACATGGAGACACCTTCCTCCTCATATATATTTTAGTCTAAGAAAACCTGGTGTGTGTGAATGTGCGTGCCTGCAGGTGTGTGTGTGTGCATCTGTGTGCATGCGTGCATGTGTGTGTGCATCCGTGTGTAGTGTGTGTGTGTGTGTGTGTGTGAGTGTGTGTTTCCAACTTTAACTTGTCAACATGTCAGCAAGGCAGTTGAGTGACCCAATAGTAAAGATTACATAACCTAAAGTATAGAGTGCCCAGGATTAAGACAACTATCCTTAACAGACCATGGCCATCAAGCACGGCAGGTAAAGAAGTCCCCTGGTTTATGCCCAGACTGACCACACTTATTGCCTCTATCCCTTCACATCTACCTCTTTTCTCTTTCCTTCTTTTTCTTCCTTTTGCACTTTATCACCTTGTGGGTTTTTTTATTATAAAGGAAAGCGGTCAAGATTTTCTAGTAGATCTATATTGTCCAAGTTTTCCCCAATGGGCTCCCCCCCCACCACACCCAGCCTAGAACAGTGCCCCAAATGTAGTGGTTAGTTGCTAAATAATTAATTGTACAATGAGTGAATGAGTAAACAAACGATTAAATCGGGTGCCAATGTTAATGTGCATTTGGGGAGGTATTAAGAACTAGGAAAGTACCCTAAACATGTAAGAATTTATCATTTTGACTGATATTTTTTTCTTTAAAAAAAGCAGGAAGAGAACGCTGGCTCCCACACATCTGTAGGCTAAATAAGAGCACAATAAAGATGCAATAATGAAAATGTTAATTGAGCTCCTGACATTTAATGCTTCAAAATGAGAAATTAAAGCCAGGCTACGTCAAGCTCCCATCAGCATCAGGAGCACACAGCTAGCCAACTTGTTTTGACACTCAGGCTTCTAAAAATAAGCCTGGGACTGAGGGCTCAGGCAATAGGTGCAAGTGAGTGGGGAGAGGCACTGCGAGCAGCCCTGGGGAGATCTGTCGGGAATTTGGATTTTCATTCTCCAGGTACAGGTTTTGGAAAATAAATAAAGATAAGATGAATGGGGCAGAGAATGTCAATTTGAGTAGTTTAGTGATGGTTGCCCGGAGCCCGTACTAAGAAGGATTCTGAAGTCATATTTGGTTTCAACAGAATAGAGTGTGGTGATTGATTAGTAATGTCTACAAAGGGTAGGAGAGGGTGGGGGAGAGAGGGAGAGAGGGAGAGAGGGAGAGCGGGAGAGTGGGAGAGCGGGAGAGCAGGAGAGTGGGAGAGCAAGAGAGAGAGCGCGAGGGAGAGGGAGAGGGTGATTGATTGATTGATTCCCCGTAGGGCTAGAATCTGCCATGCCTGTCATGGTTTCTAGGATATGTCTCATCACCCCTTACCTCCCCTTTTTAGGAGCTGGTTCTGCCAACACCCTTAGCCTCCCCTTCAAAGCTCAACCAGGCTGATTGCAAAGGCTTTGAGGTGGTGAGAATCCAAGGTTGACGATGAAGTCTGTTTTTGGAAATATCTTCTGTCAATTGAAAGGAGCCCTGAAAGAAATACTGCTGATCACAGGGACCAGAAAGTAAGCTCCCCGATGAAGAGACAGAAAGAAAATGTAGCCAGGATGATTTGGTCCTTGAACATATTCAGCCCCTAAGTGGCCCTATGGGAAATCTCTGATAGGAAGAGCCTGGGATGTCGTGTCAGAGAAGGAAGATTAGAATAATGTGCCTCGCTGAAGTGGAACTGGGGAGGCTTACCAAAGCGACCGCTGGACAGGTCGGAAGATGTAGCTGTTCCGCGCGCAAGCGGCGTGACAATGGGGAGAAAGGAGAAAAACCTGGAGCTTCTCTCACCAGTAGCCGAGCTGGCAAATCAGGGAGGTTCTGTTATCCTTTTGTGCAGCTTTAAACAACTTGCTTTTACCCCTCATTTCCTCCCAGGGCTACCCCTTTTCTGCTCCTTAATTAAACACTTGTGAACAAAATGGGAGGGAGGGAAGGAGGAAGAGATAGAGATAGAAAGAGGGGGAAGAGAAACAGAAAGAGAGAGAGAGAGAGAGAGAGAGAGAGAGAGAGAGAGAGAGAGAATTTTAGAGTCTCCTGGAGTTAGAGATGCTCCTCTCACCACCTCTGTTGCCTATTCAGGGCAACTGAAGGCTCGGAGGAGCGGGTAGCACAGTATACCATCCACTGCAGGGAGCGAAAGTGCCTCCGTGGAGGGGGCAAAACTAGGGTTTGAACATTCAAATTTAGGCAGGGAGCCTGGGGTAGCTGTGGAGCTCTGGGCTAGGTCTGGCAGAATGGTTACTGGACAGACTAGTCTTGGAGCCAGAGGGAACGTGGGCATGGGCATGGCACCCCTTGTCCTCTGTCTCTTCATCAGTAATTGAGAAAAAGAATAATTGACTTTTCTACATCATGGAGTCATTGTGTAATCAAGGCAAGGCAAGTGCATTTCACACTGAAAGTGCTTTGCACTGTGTAGATGTGAGCACTAGCTGGAAGCCACAGTGGGGAGGATAGCTAGAACCCTGGTGATTCTGCTTGTGTAAAGCAATTGCCAACCTCTCCAGACTGGAATATTCCATGTGCCTTCTGCGACAGCCTCAGCAGGAGTTAGAGATGAATCCTGGGGTACACTTTCCTCCATGTGGCTTCCCTGAGACCACATCCCCATGTGAGACAGGACGGGGCAGTGAGTAGTGGGAGTGGACAGGGGGGGACAGCCCAGGGTCACTGACACCCGAAAGCAGGTGAAATGCATGATGTGGGAGAGGGCCCTGAAGACAGGCTCCATGCAGGCCATTGGGGAAACCCCTGGCTAGCTTCACAATGCTTTTCTGACAGCAAATAACCTCTCAGGGGAGCTGGCGAGCAGGATAAGAGGAAGCTAGGTGTGAGGAGGCCTGTGCCAATGGATCCAGTGCTGGCCTGTCATCAGAATCCTGTCAGCTATGCTATATCCCTACCAATGTCCCCGGGTCCGGCACATCATTTACAAAAGTTACAAAGAGGAAAGGAAATTAGTCAATTCTGAAATATATGGATAAAAAATTTTTTTAAAAACCCAATCTTTAATGGCTGCATGTTTTTTCATTTATAAAGCCTTAACATTAGACTAATTTAGAGGCATGTGCTGGTCACAGGTCATAACAACTACCAGTAATTCCACTCACTATGCTCCGAGCCTCTGCTGGGTCTTCTAGACACCCTTCCATCTCTAATTCTTAAACAGCCTCCCAAGGTAGAAAACATCTGTTTTACAGATGAGGAAAATGAAGCTCAGCGGTTAAAGAGCTAAGCTGAATTCACAGGGCTAGTCAGTGTTAGCGCTCAGCTTGGAAAGCAGGATGACAAGCTTCCTGGGTGTATTCATTCATTCAGTGTGTGTACAGTGCATACACATCCTTTACGGAGTCTACTGAAGGATGAGGAAACCCTACTCTTCTGTTGCAAAAAGAGTGGCTTTAACCTCCTGTAATATTAATGATGATAACAGGTTAACATGTATTGAACATTCAATGTCCTAGAAAGTGTTCTGAGCACTTTACATCCATTGCTTCATTTGCTCCTTCAATTCTGTTATGGCAGTACTATTATTCTCACTTTGCCAATACAAACACTGAAGCTCAGAGTGGTGAAGCCACCTAGAACAAAGCCTGGCTACATGGTACACATGCAAATAACATTAACTTCCATCACTGATTACTGTTTTCCAGTGTCGCTTCTACTCCAGCCCAGGGCCGCTTGTAGACCTTGGAGGAAGCAGAGGGTGCAGCAGTCCCCAGGTTGGGAGGTGCAACCCACATAGATTACAGAGCGTGGGGGCTGCTCCCCAAGTCCTGAGAAGAGCAACAGAGCCTGCCCTCACCTCTCCCTGTCCTGGGCTCCCTGAAGACAGTGAAATTAAAAATGGGGGTCCCCCACCCTAAGGGGCTGAGAGTTGTTCCCTGAAATGCCAGAAGGCTACACTAGATGCCAATTTGATCAGAGTGGCTGGGCACTGGTGGCATTTAAACGTCACACAGTTGGAGGCTTGGACAAGGGAGCCATGTCTAGGAGAGCAGTGACTGCTGGGCCAGAGCTTCAGGTTGATGAGAAAGAACAGAATGTACGATCTCAGAAAGTCGCTGTGAATTTATCTGCTTTCATTAGAAAAAACAGCTGCCTAACCCCAGCGTTCTAACTTCTAAGATGAGAAGCCTGCCGTGCTTTATGCCATCAATGTATTCCTGAAAGGGTGTATTAAATCAAATGCAAGCTAATCGGAGCACCAACCAGGGGAGACTTTCATTTTCACTTGATGAATATCTTCATTTCCGATGAATGTTCAGGGGACAGTGGTTTCAACAATGCAGCCTTAAGTTTTTTGGCCCTTTCCCCCAGGCTCTCAGCCAAGTGGTTAATCAGGTGTAAACAAACCTTTACACACACCAGACCCCTCATGATTAAAAAGAGATCTGGGGTGAAACCTTTGCAAAGGACCCTCTGGGTAAAGAGAGAACTACCCCAACTTACATTTGGCGAGCTAGGAAGCTCATATAACACATGTTCTTAAAGTGACAATTCCCTGTTACAAACAACCTTTCTGATCAGCCAGTTTACTTTCAAAGGAACTCTGGCCTCTTGCTAAGCACCAGGAACCACTCTGTGACTGTGGGGGATGGAGCACTAAGCTAGAACTCCCAAGGGTCTGGAGCTCCTTTCCTGGGTTTTTAGAATGGCCGTGGGGATGCATGAACCCTGCCTCTTTCCTGGGGACAGTGCCCATAGCTTTCCTCCGTCGCTCAAATGAGTCCAAAGAGGTTATAAACATATCCCAGCAGCCCTCAGGGAGGAAGAAGGCCAGGGACTGTCTTCCTTACCTGTAGCCACCACAAGTCCTGGGGCTGTTGCCTTGCTAGAGATTCTTCCTGAGGAATATGGGTTTTCAGAGATCTGCAAGTGCAGGTGTAAGGAACAGAAGGGCTACAATGGAAGAGAAAAGAATGGCTTCATTCCAGTAACCTCCTGACACCCACACCCCCACCCCACCAGAGATGCAGCTTCCAGATGTTAAGGCTTCCAGAAACAGTAAGGATTGGATGTGAGACACACACTTAATTTTGGGTAGCAGTCATCGCCACCTGAAATCAGCGATATGTTCACATCAGAAGCTGCCCTGAGCACCTGTCCCTACTCCCATCACAGCTGCATACCATCTCCCTGTCTTCGTCAGCCCCATCCAATCCATCAAGATCCGGTTCATGGCCTGCCTTACAGAGCCTCCCTGAGCATTCCTTATCATAGCACAACATTGACCTTCTCCCATATGTGATCCTGACCATCACACTCTGCTTCTTAGATCTCTAAGGGGCCACTGGGAGGGGTGAAAAGGGAAAGCTAAGTAAAACAGCATCCAAGCCCTCTCCCCTCTTCTTCAACTAGATTGCCCCTGCTTCTGTTTGATGTGCTTGGTTTTTGTTTATCATTTTACTTTTATTTATTTATTTTTTTAAAGATTTTATTGGGGAATTGGGGGAGGGGAACAGACAAATTGCTGTTGGTTTGCTCTTCAGTCTAGTTGTGGAGGACGTTGCTTCACTGGCCCAAGTTGGCACCATCATTGTGCTCTTCCCAGGTGAGGCAGATCAGTCGCCGGCTTCTGGACAGCCGTTCACTGCGGCTGCCGGCTGTTCACGCTGGCTTCTGGCTACACATGGTAGCCCATGGCAACCCGCTGCAGCCTAAGCCGTCGCGGGCGACTCATGGCAGCCCAGCTCCAGGTTGAGCTGTTGTTCAGCATCTTAGCTGTGGAGGGCAGTGTCACTGGCCCTCATATGTGGGATCCGAACCGGGGCCCTCTGGCATCCCAAACCAGTCCTTAACCATCGCGCCACTCGGCCGGCCCCATTTTACTTTTAAATGTTTGAAGCCGTTATCAAAAACTCTGTCTGTGTTCTTTGTTCACTTATTTATACCTATTTGGGTATTGTTTAAAAGAATTAGGGATTTATAGTGATGTCATCTATATATATATATATATATATATATATATATATATATATAATAAAATTAAACTATGAAAATGATGAAATAGGGAAAATTCAGTTATGAAAATAATATGACGCCATGGGTAAGGTAAAGGTTCAGGGTAGGGAGAAATCATGCTGTGACCAGTCCCTAGAGATACACAGGCATTTGTTTCTGACCTTCCCAGCACCCCAAGCAAAAACCATGGAGTTGGACTGATACTACAAAAGGGGAAAGGCCCTGTCTGCCCGATTTACCACTGTATCGCCAATTTTTTAAGTAATGTCTAGAATATGATAAGTGGTTAATAAGTGGCACAAAGCAATTTTTTGCTAAGGAGAAACATAACCATTTCTGGGACCTTAGGAGAACTTCTTACACAGGTCCGCTTTAAGTTGGCACTGATCGCTGTGAATGTCACTGTTCATTGTCTATCTTCCCTCCATATCAGGAGTTGTAGCATCTTATACACCTTGTCTTCCATAGTGTGTGCCCCAATACTCCATACAGTAGACCCTGGGAATGCTGACAGGTTAACTGCCTCATATGGATGTACCAGCCTGACCCTTCCTGGGCTTCCAAGGCAAGTTTTGCTTATGCTGACATCCATCAAACACTTATCAAACTGTATCCCATCAGCATCACGTAGCAGGTGTGTTGCCACTACCAAGCTCTACCTGGGACCCTGGAACACAGGCACTTTCCCTTATATGTTTCTTTATCTTACTAGGAGTTAGAGCACATGCTATTTTCTCAGTAAAAGCCTGTGAAATTCAACTGAACTTTCCATCCAAGCGGAACGGCACTCTGAGTCCACATATCAACACCCTGGGAATTGTAGGAAATCTCAGCCCAGCGCCAGCCAAGTTCCTAAGAGCCCCTGCTGGAAGAACGCCCCTAACACAGCATCCTTAGGGAAACAGCATGCCCTGTGGACTTCCCATGAGACTGAGTGACTGACCAGCAGGCAGTGTACCGGGCTTCCTCTCAGGTCCACGTCTGGAGCTTGCAATAGGCGCCAATCCCTGCCCTTGTTGTATGTGATGTGTGTCTTCACCTGGTCATCCACCTTCTTGTTGGCCAGAAATATCCCTTTGATACCTGCTACCTAGGAAAAAGGGCGAGAGATGGAGAACCATGTTGGACCAAGACACCTATAGTCTTGGAGAAGCCCTGGGAGAAGCCCCAGCATTTTCCACAGGATGTTGGGGGTACCAAAGAGAAGAGGCAAAACATGGTGAGAAATACCATTCGACATGTGGTCTCTGAGAGAAGTTTAAGTTCATCTCGGCATCCTCCACACCCCCCAACCCAGATGTCTCATTCCCGTCTTATCCACCTGCTTTTTTCCACTTTACATGTCTCTGTGCTTTGTTCCATAGGCCCTTATCCTACATTAACTATTAGCATTTCCTCTGAGGTGGGAATGGCCAGTAACAACTAAAGGAGTTACCCCTTTCTAGAGAACACAGGTTTTTGCTCAGGAGGGGCTTGTAAATGGGTTTTCAAGGCATCAGGGTATAATCCTTAATGGTGGAAGTTGGCATATTTTGGGGACAGATAACCTAGCTTGGGGACCTGGAATCTCTCTCTGACGTGTCACTAGCTTACTGTGTCACTATGGGTAACTCCTATATCATCTTTGAGTCTCAGCCAAGGGCCACATTGAAACAGGCAGTCAGCCCGCCCATCCTTTTTTCCCTCCGTTGGCCGGCAGTGGATACATGAGATAATACAGAGCACTCTTGCCAGAGTTCCCGGTTACTGGGATCCACAGGCTCTTCATATTTTGAAAGAAGACCATCACCACAAAACAAGAAGCTAGAGGATTAAAAGAGATTTATCATAAAAGAGGTTTATGATCTAGAAGTAAGTACAGATTCACTCAAACTTTTATTCCCACTATCCCTACATTCTGGGCAATAAGAATATTGAAAGCATTTTCTATCAAAGAAATATTTCCTTAATTTACCGCACAATCCCAGCATGCTCCAAAGCTGAAAGGTAATTCAAATAGTTTAAACATGTATAAACAAGAGGTTTAATGGCAGGTTTTCTGGATAAGAGAGATCTCAAAATTTTAATTGTATTTATACCCCATTCATTAAAGATCATGGTTAACTGAGGTTTGTTGCAGTTCTGAGAGAATACCAGGCAGAAGAATTCTACAGAAGTGAGCTCTTTTGCTTTTTTAATGACATAATTTAACTGATGAAATAAGGAGTCTTTTTAAAATTAAAAAATTAATTAGTAACCTGACTGGCCTTGAAAGAGAATGTCAACCCAAATAAAAACAAACAAACAAACAAAATGAACAAAGAATGTCAGGAGGAGAACAGAATTATCTGGGAAGGACACCACCAGGGGAATTTGACAAGTAGCCAACAATGGAATTGATTAAAATCCCAACTTGAACAGAGGGTGGGTCAAGAGAGAAGCCAAGATGGGGGGAGGGGCAGTGGTGTCACAGTTACATACACCCTTTCCCCAGACATACCCTTTCTGTCCTAGCTGCTTAAAGTCAGTGCCACTTCAGGAAGGCTGGCATCATATATGCTCCTCCAGGGGCTATGAGACCCTCAGATCACTGTCTTTAAAACCAACTGCAAAGATGTTTTTCTTAATCCTGGTTGCCAATTATTCCTTAGAGAGACTGGAATATTTGTTTCTTTAGAACCTTCTGCCTTTTGGTATTTTCTTCAGCTGCAGAGCTGGTGCCTTTTTTTTGGACCACCAGATAATGATTCCCAAGAACTCTCTCCCCTAAGCCACCTGACCCCCCTCCTGACCCCTCTCCCACCTAGGGTCTCACTACCCACCTCCCAAAAGAAAATACAGAGTCAGGCTTAGACTCCTGAGTCTGCTCCTGTGGGGCTAATGACACCCCATCCCCTAGCACGATGCGTTACAATATGAATTACTAGCCGTTCAGCTGCCTCCTCGTGTTCTGGATGAGCGTGTTTGGCAGATGGAATGGTCTCTACCATGTTTTTCCATGGAGAGCTTCACCACTTGGATGGGCATTTTCTGTGTGTCCCACATATTCAGAGAGCAAAATCAGGAGAATGGAGACTGAGAAGGCATGGGAGTGGGAGACTTCCAGGGAACGCATCTGTAGCTCTGAAGGCCTTCTCCTGTAGTTGCACATAATGCCACAGCAATCTCACTCATGTCTGAAAGAACCAGAATGTTTCCCCCTTTGTATTTGGATTGTTCAAAGCCCTTCCATTATCACTGAACTGCTTCTTGGCTCCATATCGTGTATAAATGGACAACATTTGTTGTGGAGGTCACTTTAGTTTTGCGTAACTTAGGCCAACAACTTTCAGACTCTTTTATTGCAACCCAGACATGAAATACAATTATGTTGAAGCTTAGCAGACTCATACCCATATATGTATGTATATGTACACATATAGGTACCTATATATCACGAAACACGTCTTACCCTCATACATGCAATGTAAAAGAATTAAATAATGAGACACACATTTTAACTCTTCTCCATCCAAGGAGGTACTCAGCATCTGCCTTAAACATACTTCCTCCCCCTGTTGTTTGACGTGAGAAGGCTGTTGCTGTTGGGCCTGGCAATTTGAGGAGAAGAGTACCAGCTGGTGATGGTCCCAACAGGAGAGAATACTACAAAGTTTCAGACCTGCATGGCCCACTTTCCCTCTGGGGATCAATTTGAATTGCAAAGGAAAACTGACAGTGGTCCCCTGGCAGAGCACTGAGTCCAGGTGGCATGGTCATCTGTTGTTCAACTCCCTGGCCCCTCAGGACAAGAAAGCCAGGGATCTGCTGAGAAAAGCAATTACCATTGTCTGCTCTGGGCTGTCCCTAGAGTCGGACCTGCAGTGAGGGACTAGTGAAGGTCAGTTTGGAAAAAATGTCCCTGTGGAGCTCATAAGCAGCTGTCCATCTGGCCAAAGAAGGATCACCTAAGTTCATGATAAAACAGGGTGGAAGGCAACACTGGGGACAAAAAAGGCAAGGAAACATCAATAAGATGGGCAAAGAGATCAGAACACTGGGCATGGCTCAGAGAGTTGCATTTTATCCATCCAAGTATAGTGGGGTCAACATAATTAGCGATGAGGAATTTCAAATTAAACCCACAATTAGATAATAATAGGCCCCTATCAGAATGGCTAAATACACAGACAGACAGACAGACAGACAGACAGACAGACAGACACACACACACACACACACACACACACACACACCTGATAATACCAATTGTTTATGAAGATGTGAAGCAACTGGAACGCTCCTACATCTCTGGTGGGACTGCAAAATGCTAGTGCCTTTTTCAAAACAATTGGATAACTTTTTCTAATCATATACTCACATTCAATCTAGCAATCCTACTCCTAGGGATTTATCCATGAGAAATAAAAACTGATGTTCATGTGAATATTTATAGGAATTCTGTTCATAATCACACACAACTGGAAACAAACTTAAATGCCCTTCAATTGCTGATTGAACAAACAATGGTACATCCACAAAAGCGAATACTACTCAGCAATAGAAGGACCATCTAGTGATACCCAATAACTTGGAGGACTCTCAAATACATCATTCTAAGTGAAAGAAGACAGACTCAAAAAAATAACTACTGTATGATTCATTTCTATAACAATGGAAAAGGCAAAACTGGAGCGAGAAAGAGAGAAAACAGACCAGTGTTTGCCAGTGACTTTGGGTGGGAGGAGAGTTGACTGCAAAAAATCCATCAGAGAGAATATTTTGGGGTCATAGAACTGTTTTAGATCTCAATTGTGATAGTAGTTACTCAATTGTATACCCTTGTCATAACTCATAGAACTGTATACCACAAAGGGTAAATTTTACTGTGTGTAAAACTACATCTCAATAAAATATTTATATGAAAAAAATTATAGTGGGAAGAGCCTAGGCTTTTTAGCCAAGTGGACATGGGTTTGTTCAAATTTAGTGTCACTATTTACTGGCTGTGTGATCTGAGTCACGTTACTAAATTCTCTGCATCTCTGTACTCTCCTAGGCACAATGAGGAGTGGCACCTATCACAAAGAGACATTGTGATAAACTTAAAAAAGTATATAAGTAATTTAGGGTTAGGCAGCCCAATACCATTGCCACTAGCCACATATGGCTACTGAGTGCTTGAAATGTGACCAATGGGACCAAGGAGCTGATTTTTAATTTCATTTAATTTTAACCAATTTAAATACGGATACCCAATTCAGTTATTGGCAAAGTTTTAAGTATATTTGGAATAACATAGGTATGTGAATCTGCTTTTTCTACTGTAAATTTTATGAAATGTAAATACTGATCAAGTACTTCTAGTGAAAATTTAGCATATGAATTGAGATGTGTGGGAAGTGTAAAATATACCCAGGATTTTGTAGACTTAGTATGGAAAAAAAATCGCATTAGCAGTTTTTCATAGAGAACATATACTGAAATGATACTTTAGATATTGTGGTTAAAGAAAACATATCACTGCAATTAATTTCACCTGTTTCATTTTACATTTTTAATGTGCATAGTAGAAAATTTTAAAGTGCATGTGTAGCTCACATTACATATTTATTCAATAATGCCAGTGTAAGGCATTGCCTGGTATGCTGCTGTTGTTATTATTATAACAAGTTACAAGCTGGATGCTTAATATCCAGGAAAGTATTGAAAAAAATACATCAGACTGGCAGCTCAGCGCATGTTTCCATAATAAAGCTGAGGGTGTTGGAAAGAATATTTGTTTCTTGATTTATCAGTGGAGAGCAACTAAGAAGAAATAAAGTTTATAGTTAGGGGTGTAAAGAAATCACCGCAGAGCTCTATATGAAAAGGGCGTCTTAAGAATGATGGTGAACACCCATGATGGGCTACATTCACGGTCAACACCAGACTTGTTTTGATAGAATGGGCTCCAAAACCTCAAAGAAGAGATGCATTATTATTTGGCCTTCAAGAATTATTTTCCCCTCTGATTATGTAATTATATCGATGACAATATTGTACTTTGAGGCAGGAATTGAAGAGAGAACCAAGCAAGAGACTTTACACAGCAGTAGATGGTTCCAACAGACTAGAGAATGAAAAATGACTCTGCCTTATTGGGTTTTAGGGAGTTGAGTGGATTTCATCTCCATTGGTCTCCAAAGTCTCTCAGTGCCAATACCTGCAAGGTGAATTCTCAAATAAGTTCTCGCTTTCTTTGTCCCCTTCCCATTGTCAAGGAAAGGCTTTGCGAGGTTCATGTGGAAGATAGAGTGACATACCAGTAGCTTTAAGTGGCCGTGGTCAGCCTGAGCCACCTCACATCTGTGTTACCTAAAGGCATCACTGACATTTCAGACAAGGGAGTACAGGTGTAGTGCCCTGTTTAATCATAATGTAAAGTTACACATACATTTGGCATAGGGGACTACATGATGCATGAAACTATATAACTCACTATATATGTAGATGTAGGGGAAAAACATTGAGAAATACTAGCATATCGAATAAACGCTCAGCTCTTCAGTCAAGTTCTTTACTGGTATCTTTGCAATCTTTATCTCTCCTATTCCCCAAGGCCACTCAACACTCTATAGAAAAGGGACATCTACTCATCATACTCCACTTCTCTTCTCATGCTGGGAACTCACCAAGCAAGTTCTTTCTCCCAAGCTCCAGGATTCATCCTTTAAGCCAACTCACCTACTAGTCTCCCCAAATGCCTCAAGTTAGAATTAACCTTTGTTTTAGTGATGCCACAACATGGGAGATCAAGCCTTTAATAAAAGTTAGACTGTGATCACTAACTATCCTAATAGAGTCACTTATGTCTTTCCAACAGATTGTGAGTTTCATGCACCAGCCTTCGTTCATCAAACAAAATACACTCCATGAAAGTGTGTTAATTTAGCTGAATTAAATGTGAAAGCTTACTGGTTTTCCCAGATGCATTACTCAAGGGCATTCAGAGTCCAGAAAAGTTATAGTCTCTTTGCTAACCTGCCATATGGTACACAACCTCAGCTTCTACAGGAATCTCCAGTGAAGAAGGTCAAAGTCTAAGGACCTCTAGAGGCCAATTAAATTGAGCTTTGTCTCGAAATCACAGAATGTTTCTCCAGGTGTAAAACAGCATTGCTCTCTAAAAACCTTCAATACATTCATGGTCTAGATAGTGGCATGATCCATTCTATTCCCTTGGTATTAAATGTCTTCTAGGACCTGAACTCCAGCTATTATGCAGTGCTCATCCTTGTATCTAACAAGCATCTATTTCCATGCAGTTAGGCTGGCTAGTTCATAGTCTTACAAATCTATACCACCCATCCAATTCTTGGCTCATGCCATTCTTGATATATGGAATGGCTTCCACTGCTTCATTTCTTCATCCCCAGTGAAAAAGGACTGATAATGATTGGTAATCTAATCTTGAGAAAAAGAACTGGGCATGTACAACTCCTCCCCACATCTGCTATTTTTGGGACCTGCCTGTAAAGATCACATCTTCTGTACCCCAATGTGATGGTGTTGCAGAAGTTTCCATAGGAGATCTTTTGATTTACTATTTCTGCCTGTTACTGGAGGGATGGGTGGATGAATGGATGGATGGATACAATTCTGGAGTGCAATATTAGCAAGCCCATTTCCTCTTATATAACTTTTAAAGTGATACAGCTGATGTATGATCTCCATTTGTCTCACCATTTGTCTCTGTATCAATTGGTATCAATCTTGGGTAAGGAATAAAGGAATTTGTTCATTGACCCGCCTCGAAGCCCAACAAACTAAATTGCAAGCTCCCTGAGGGCAAGAGCCATCATCTCTCCTGTCTTCCTTATGGGCTTGAATACAAAGTAGGGGCACAATCAACCCTGATAAAATTGAGTGGAGCACCATCTCAACAGCGCTGGTTTTAAAGAGTTGCCTTGCCCGGTACATCTTGCTTCTGTAGAGATGCAATGACACCATGCATTTTCCCCCCCAGCAAGACTAAAAATGTGAGAGGAAACATAATTACATGGTCTAGGCACATTCTTCACTTTGACTCGTACTCGACTCCATATCAGAGTGTCTAACTGACCAAGGAGTTTCAGGCTCCCTTAGGAAAGAAACAGAACAGTGGCAAAACCACCCACCACTATCAATAGGGTCAAAGGCAGGGATTTCTCCTTAAAGGTCTTTGGAAGCAACGTCTACCCTCTCTTGGGGTCTGGCCAGGGGCGTGGGTAATCCTCCTATCACCACAGCCTCAGCTGTGCAAACAGGAAATTGGTTGGAGTGACCTCTCGGTCCTGGGGAAATTCACCCAAATCTTCCCATCAGATGTGACTTAGTTCCCAATAACAAAGGTATATTTCTGCTTTTTGGCATGATTAGAGACATGGAAATGGAAGCTTCCCAAAGCCATTTATACACTTTAGTCATTTTTACCAGTTTTCATAACTCCAGGAAGCTATCTGGGCCATTTTCCAAATAGACTTTGTTGTTAAAATTATTTCAGCATTTGTCAACTATCTCCTTGGGAAATCAGAATATTTCTACTGATTTAGTTTTATAGCCAATAACATTCACTTCTCTCCTTTTAAAAATATACTTCCATTCATCCTATATCCTTGTAGAATCCTCTTTCCACCTAATAAAATAACTGAAATCTTATATATTTCCACCACAGTCAGTCACTGAGCAGCCAACCTAGGTACCAGTGTAGAGACGCTGGGACTTTGACAGGCACAGCTCAAAAGAGACCACTGCAAAGCAGACGCCCATGCACTGATCCCTCTACTGACAGCCACTCTTGCTCCTCAAAGAGAAAAACTCACAAGGGAGCAGCTCACCCAAGCCATCTGAGGCTACCACCTACAACACACCACTTACCCTTCCATGAGTAAATGACCCCAACCAACACAGACTATGTGGGCTGGACCACCAGTCACTAGTGAATATTGGATAATGAGACATATTGTCTTTGCTCAAGTCAATCCATCGTACTGAAGTGGACAGTCAAGTCCCTTCACTGTGGCCAGGATGGTCAAAGTCATACACTGTCAGAGGTATGGAAAAGCACTACATCGTTAGGGTCACTGAAACAGTTCCTATATGAAGTCACCTGTTTTCCTAGAAAATTATTCTTTTATTCCTCTGTATTATATATACAGAGGGTGCCATAAAATGCTTACACATTTTAAGAAAGGAAAAAACTATATTAAAATTACGCTGATGGTAACCACTTTAGCACCTCTTGTAATTGCAGAAGTCAAATGTGACTTGTATTCATCTTTCATTGGCGATATATATTGAATATTACAATTTTAATATAATTTTTTCCTTTCTTAAAATGTGTATACTTTTTTGGCACCCTCTGTATATATGCAAATTCAATAAAGATGATCATATTAAAAAAACAACTCAATGTAAATCAAGGCCAGTTCTTCATGCACAGATTGCTGGTGTTTGGTGGCATTTTAGGGAAACCCTGACTTCCATCGCTAATATTTGTTTTTATTTTCCTACAATTTTTGTTCATAAAACATGATTTTCCAAATAATTTAAGGCATATAAATACTACTACTTCCTCCACCCAGAGTTCATAAGGAGAATAGAATTGAATACTGTATTTAAGAGATCACCTAGATCAAGCACCTTCATTTCTGTCTTGTAATTATGCTCATACACACAAGAACTTTGACTTTAGCTACCATTTGTTGAAGGCTTATTGAGTCAACCATCACATTAGATGCTTTACAAACATTAAGAGTTTACCCTTGTTTCACAGGTGAGGGAACTGAGGCACAGAGGAATTTAGTCCCTTACCCGAAGTTACATATTTTCAGAGTGGTACAGCTGAGATCTGAACCCAGGACTATCTGACTCCAATGCTTGTGTTTTTATCATTAAAACTCACAAAAAAAGAGAGGCAAACCCAAGTGTGGGGTAATCTTGGCTACATACCTCATACAATTCAATAATGATGTTTCCCATTAGACCTCTGCTGCTCTTAATATTCTCCATGGCCAGGGTGAAGTAGATCCCACGTGTGTCTGAGATGTAGAGGTTGTAGGTGTCATTCTGGTTCCATTCCTGGACCGCTGCAAACACTTGGTTCTCATCAGTACTGATGATGTGCATGTCCTGGAAGAAGATGAAAGGCCTATAAAAGCGGCAGATCTCCATATCTCCCTGCCCACGGGGACCCAGAGTAATTACCATGACTTATGAAATGGTTGAGAAAAAGCTTGATTTATAGGCAATGTTAAACAATTCTGTGTCAGACCAAGGCTATAAATTATGAGTTTCATGATTTCTGTTCCTTGCTAAGTGACAGCAAGATGGGTGTAAGGGGCTTTGGTGGGTATCATTTTCCATGGCTTTGAGGAATTCATCCACTTTCATTTTTTATTTTTATACCTGAAAGTTAGTGTTAGTGCTAACAGAGACATACAGCCTTGCAAAAGGAAATGCACACATGCCAAGAAAGCAGGGCCTATGCCTTCTTTAGATCTTCATTTATATTTTCAGATTTTTTAGTGTAATGGGTTTCACCATTTTCTTTGGAATCTTCAGTGTCATGAGGATTGCCAGACGGGTGGCCTGGAGGCATTGCCAGGGGGTTAGGGCTCTGGACTTCCAACCCTGTTTCAACCAGAGCACAACCACTTAAATAGTTTTGTGTCATATTTAAGGAGTAAAAGGTGAAGGGGTGGTTTCTGCTGCTAATAAAATCACATTTTAAAATCACTGAGATGGAGGAAAAGATACTCAACTTGGAATTTAGTTTTCTGAGTCAGAATAGAAGTGCTCCTGTAAGTAGGCTGTATGATGTGCAATGCGTCAGTCTCCCTGGGCTTCAATGTTCTTAACAAAATAGTGAAGAGGCTGGGTTACCAATAAAGATAGCTAACATTGGGGCATTGTTCTAACTTATCTGAATGTATTATTTTAATTAAAAATCCAAAAAATTCTATAATAGAGGTAATGTGATTAATCCCATTTTATTGAGGAGTAAACTAAGGCAATTGGGCTTTACCAACCTGTTTCTGATTACATAGCTATTAATACAATAATAGTAAGTTGCAGACCCACATTTTGAACCTCGGTGATATGACCCTAACCTAATTATTATATTCTAACCATTTGGATATATAGCCTCTAGGTGAGAAGATGCAAATCAATGACCCACAAAATAAATATGTATCAGAAACATTTGGTTTGACCACAGCCTCTATGCAATACCTGAAAATGTAGTCTTTTAGATGGAGTCAGCACTCATTGGAATCTCAGTCCTACATATCTAAATGTTCTTATTATCTGTCACTTACATAGTGCTGTTAACTTCCTGGTTGCTGAAATCACTTTAGTTTGTATTCCTGGAGTGGATCATTATTATAAAGTCAAATCTAACAGCTCAGAATTCGAATCAGTTTATAAAAGCCAGTTTGCATATGTAGCTAGATGCTGTACAAAGATTATCACAAACTCGGGTCCTTATTCAAGGAACTTACATTGTCAGAAGGCAACTTTAACAAGGATAAACATTTGAAAAAAAACAGCAGTCGTTAAAAAATGCGTAACTATTCAGGTGTATGTGCCAAAGAGTGATAGCATCCCAAGAAAGCAGGAGAGGCACCCTTGTTATTGTGGTGGAAAGCAATGGTAACAGGAGCACAGGCAACTAGAGTGGACAGTAAGTAGATAATCAGGCTGAATTTAGCCTTTACCTTATTTGGCTGTCCTTTCCCAGAAATGGTTTCAACAATAAAAGGAGGCAGCAATGTCTATAATGTCAGAACCATGGAGAGCTCCTCCAAAATGCTTTCAAAAGCAGTCAGCCCGTTTGATTGGGACAACTGGGAGGTGGGGAAAGTGAGAAAGCAAGTCCTGGATCTTTGCACTGGAATGCTGTCACCACTCAGCCTCTGACCTTGAACTCCCTAGGTCACCTTGACTAAGACCTCATCTTACACACCTTGTAGAATTACCGGTTCCTGCTGAGCTGCTCGAAAATGGAAATAAGGCTTACTCTTAAAAACCATGTGATGATATCTTGTTGTGTTGATATGGAATTAAAGCCCAAGAACCCAGTAGGAGGGGAAATAGCAGCTGCAGGAAATACGGATTAAATTCACTTACTCTGTTAAAAATGTAATAAAAATGCCTGGCTTTTCCCAGATGTTTTGGTTATAAAAATGAATGAGCTAAGTTATTTTAGGCTAAACTAATGTAAAAGAAGTGGGAAAAAAACAACAACAACTTAAAACACTGGGGTATGGTCAGGATTCGAGGCAGCCAGTTTTGCTGTGAGTGCATTTTAGTTTAGACCTGCACTGGGAATGTGTTACCTGGTGAACAGGTACTGCAGGCTCCGGGGTGAGGGACTACTTTCTAGAACCTAAGATTCTGGGATGTCTGCTTGAGAAATTCTTAATCTGCCAAAGTCACTCAGCTAATAAATGATATTACTAAGATTTAAACCCAAGACTCCCCTAATCAGGAAACTGAGCCCCATGTCACTGGGGGTATAACTTCAATGTGTGTCAAAGTGACCTGGAGATCTTAATAGCATATAGACTCATGTGTCCTACTGCCTAAGGCTCTGATGCAATGTGTCTGGGGTGGAGCCTTAGAATCTACCATCTGAAGAAACCCTCCAGGTGATTCGGGGGCAATCTGGGGAGTCACTCTTTGAAAAGCTCTGAACTATGTGTCCTCTCTCCTAATAGGTCTTATGGTTGAAGAAGGATCAACCAACAATAGCCAGAATATTGTCTTCAATGATAAAGAAAATTGTTATTCGTTAAAATTGGTCCAATAAGGATCTGAAGTATAGTAAAGCTTATTTCTTGAATTCTGCTACCCTAACCTAACTCTAAAGCATGTGTCACCAACTTACTAAAATAACTATAAATAACAATCCCCCGTACACTCCCAATAGAGCAATTCGGGAGAATCAGGGTTGCTTTTTGGAAACCTAAACCTGTGACTTCCTAGGTGAACAGTGGTAAAAATACTTCCCTGTTTGTGAAACACTTTCTCGTGATCTGAGTCTAAGGTAACTTCATTATAGAAAGACTTAACATTGGTAGGCATACACAATGTGCCAAACACTGCAATATAGATACAGAGAGGGACCAAAACGTAGAACATAACATCAGAAGATGCCCACCTGGTGGTGGAGATATCACATGCTCTTATGGCCATCCGTGAACTTGTAAGTGCTACAACAGAGGTACTGAAAATGATGATAGGAGTAGAAAGGCTTATATAGGTGAGAGGAAGGGTGGCTCATTCAAGGAAATGTGAGGAACTTGGAATAGCTTGAAAGCAGTCCTCTGAGGGCAGTGAGCATAGAGAGTAGCCACATCGCAAAGGGCTCTGTATAGCACACCTGAGTTTTACCCAGAGGGAAGTACAAAGCTATCACAAGATTGTAAGCAGGAGAGAGAAAGGATTAGAGTTGATCAATGCAGAGATCGGGTTGAAGAAGATTAACTTGATTGCATGATCATATTCATTATGGAAGCAGTAATAAAGAGTAGATTTAAGTGGGGCAAGGAGGAAGGCTTAAAAGGTCATTGCAACATAGTAACAAATGAGGGCCTGAATGAAGGAGTAGGTTTTCTATAAGAACCCTACGAAATGGATGGGTGAGATATTAAGGAGGCAGAATCAACAGGGAATAAGGGAGAAGGACATATCTTTAATATCTCAGGTATGTGACTTACAAAATCTGCTCTTTTTAGAGTGTTCATTAAAATCATAATTAAATATTCACTTGTGTAATTATTTGATATCTGTCTCTCTTATTAGATTGCAAACTCCCAGAGGACAGACACTATGCCTCCCTTATTTATCATTTTATTTCTAGTACTTAGAGTTTTTAGCACATGGGAGATAGCCAAAAAAAGTTTATCGAATGACTAAATGGAGTAAGTAAACATGGGAAAAGGAGGTGATAAGAGGGATATAAGGTAGAGACTCTGAGCTCAGCTGTGGAGTTGTCAAATGGGGTCCTTAAGGGGATGTAGTACTTCAAATAGGCAGTTGGAGATACTTTCCAGAGTTCAATGGAAAGATATAGGCTGAAGCTGTGGACATAGGAGTCACCAATATGAAGAAAAGGGATGAGGTCACTCAGGAACCATGCAGAATGCAAGGAGAATTTAGGAAATCATCATTTGAAGGGTGGCCAGGGGAAGGGGATGCAGAAAAGGAAATCAGAATAAAATACTACCAAAGGGAATAGTATCAAGAATATCCCCCCCCCAACAGTGTCAAAAGCTACAGAGAGGCATAAAAAGATAAAGAGTTAGAGATGTCCACTGGACTTCGCATGTAGGTAGTCCCGGGTAACAATGGCGAGAAGTTTAGTGGAATAGTGAGGGGATGGATGTGGGAGAACAGAGGGCAGTTAGCAGTGGGTTAAAGAGTGAAGAGCAAGTGAGAAAAGAAGTTAAAATTACAGATAAGTGTGGCTGTGACACAGCAAAGAAGGATAAATCAGCATTTGGGGAAACGTAAAAATTAAGAAAAATTTTCCTAAGGAAATTAAAGAAAAGGTTAATATCAATATCATTATCATTATAATAAATTTTCTAAACTTTATTTCCCTCTATCTTTTCTAATTCAAAATAGGGTTAACCACATTCTACTGTCAAATGAAAACAAATCCAGACCTAGGGAAGAAGAGACTTTATTTGAAAAGGCTATTGCAACTCTCTGACCATAACATCAGCACGCACCTCAGAGTAAAGGCAGAAAAGAATTACTTTTATAGGAAGAAGTAAAACAAGGCTACAAAGAACTGAGTGTGGGGAGCGGGGTGAGCAGGTGGCATGATGAAGCAATTAGATTGGAAATTGTTCTCCTCAGAGCTGGGTGATTCTCAGAGGGGCTGTTAAGAGGGGTTGTGCTGAGTTCCAACGCTTGCGTAAGCTCCCAGTGCTCACATATGCTCAAGAGTGGGTCAAAGTTTAGGGGCTGAAGGGAAGGAGAACAGCTGAACTTAAGTTGATATAGTGAAATTAGCAAGCATTTTGTCCAGATTGGTCAGTGAGGACAGACAGTTCAGCTAATCATTTATGAGATGAAGAATGGAAATCTGGCTTTGTCAGAGGTAAACACAGGAGATCTTATCAAGGCAATGGGGAAGGGGAGTTCTTTGTAGTAAGCCATGTCCAGGAACTCAAAAATATGTTTCGGAGGGAGGGTGTTTCTTAAATACTGCTGTCTTCCAGAAACACAGGACTCAGGTCAAGTTCAACATCACCACTACCGAGTTGAATCCCATACATAAACAAACAAAAAAACAAATTTTCTCTTGTGTAAAGGCTATTAGAGTAGTAAGAATAAATCCAGGGCCGGCCGAGTGGCTCAATTGGTTAAGAGTTGGCTTAAGAGTGCGAGCTCTGAGCAACAGGGCCTCCGGTTCAATTCCCACATGGGCCAGTGACACTGTGCCCAAGCTGAGCTGTTGCTGAGCTGCCAACAGGTGGTAGGATGGCTCAGCTGGTGTAACAACAATGTTGCCTGTTTTGATGGTGGGCTATGCCCACCCACAACTAAGACTGAACTTGGCACCTTGAGCTGAGCAGCCGCCCAGATGGCTCAGTGGATAGAGCATGCGGTCTTAACAAGGCTACTGGGTTTGACTCCCGCATGGGATAGTGTCTATACCCACCTGCAACTAAGATTGAACACAGCACCTTGAGCTTAGAAGCCATGAGCTGCCGACGGGAAGCCAGATGGCAACTGGCACCCTCCACAACGAAGATTGAAGAACAACAACTTGGCTGCTCCCCTTCCCCAATTCCCCAACACTGTTCCCCTCCCCCAAGTCCCCAATGGAATCTTTAAAAAAAAAAAAAGAATAAATCCAGAATCTAAGACACAAAAGAGGGTCTATTAGCATCAGATAGAGTGAGGGCCTCAGGCAACACTGACTCCAAGGGCAGACTAGGACATGGCCCCACAAGGAGCACTGATCTCTACCTCACAAGTTTAAGGGCATGTATTTCCCCCTGGGTAACAATCATCCTTAGACTTATCTGGCCAGCATTTTACACTTTATCATAATGAGCCATTCATTGAGTCCTCACAACCTTGTCAAATAGTATGACAATGCCCATTTCACAGATGAGAAGACCTGGGCTCATGGAGGAGTGGTAGAGCTGGGATGAGAACTCAGGGTTTCTGTTCATAAGCTCCATCGCCTTTTCCCGAGGTCACCATGGTTCCCCTCCATCTGCTTCCCCTCCCCCTGCGGGTGCGGGCTTCTCATGCCTGTTGGACGGAGAGTGCCAACCCGATGCCCAGGGACTGGGTTTGGAGGACTCAGCACGAGGTTGCTGCCCCTAATCATGCTGCTTATTATTAATGGCATTCATTTCATTCTCTGAAAAGCACCCCAAAGCCACAGAGCACTCCAGGTAAGCATATCCTGAACAAACAGGCTGGGATGGGAGTACAGGTGTGAGGGTAGCTATGACAGGGAGCATCTCTGTGTTTTTGTTTTTTAAGCAAGACGCCCAGCAGCAGCTGCAGAACTACATGGAGCAGCAGCAACTTGCTTAAAAGTCATTTCCGTTTTTAAACAATGGGAGGGACCAATCTCCCTCCACCCCCTCTGTCCTCACGTCCGTCCACAGCCCCGGCGATGAAAATCTGGGCCAATGTCAGCTAATAAAGGGGGATCGATAACCATCCAGCTATTTTCACAGCAGCCCTCATATTAATGAGAAGCTGCTCTGGATGAAGTTCTATAAAAGGGGCCGCACGGATGGTACTTCACCACAATAAATGGCCATGGGGTTGCTAATCGTTAATGGAGTGTTCTAGGGTTGTGATCAATTCCAGGCTTCATTTGTCTTCACCTGCAGCTGCACTGCCCAGGGGAAGCAAACTGTTTGTTTTCCTGAGACCGTTAAAAATTCAGAAAATATGCACACATGCACAGGAAAAACAGGCCCTCCATTGATTGGAAAGAAGGTTTGGAAAGTTCCCGAAATGCTTTTCCTAGGCCAAGACACAGAAATCATCAGGTCACGGCGAGGGGTCACTCTCCTTTAGAAAGAGCATGATTATGAACTTCCGCTTCCTCATCGTCTCCAGGCAGGGACCCCTCTTTCCTGTGGGGGTTTAGAATATCTGATAGGTATGCCCTGCCACCACAGTACTGTACATCCTAGAAAAGCCAATCACAGAGGGGCTAGAGAAAACGAGAAATTGATTCCCATGGCCCCTGGGGAATCTCAGCAACCCAGTCTCTCAACATGGTGTTTCAGTTGTTTGAATGAACCATACTCTCTCTTCAAAGAAAGCCTGTGCATGTGTTTTCTATTGGCTACCCCATCACTTGTTTGCATGGTTAACCCCTTAATCTCTTTTTTTTTCTTATTTTAATCAACTTAAACATCACTTTCTATAGGAGCTTGCCCTCACTACCCACATTGGGTTAGCTCCAACATTTATGCCACTATGGCCCTGAGCTTCTATATCTCTAACACCTTATATACCGACCACTGTTTGTTCAGTGTCTCTCTTCTCTACCACAATATAAGCCCCGTGGAGCAGGGTCTGTTTGTGCCTTATTCACTGTTCTACCCACAGAGCTCAGGTCAATGCCTGGCACAAGGTAAAAATTTAAATGGAAGAAATAGTTCCATGGATGAAAAAAAAAAAAAGGAACAAATAAATGAATGGGTTGATACATGCACACATGAATAAGTGAATAAAAACAACCAAAGGGTAGAAAATTGCCCACCATCTTATCCCATCATCTCTCCTACCTCTACTCAGCCTTTCAGAATATGTTTCCCAGCACCAGCTTAGAGACCTAAGTCTTTGTAACATTAGATTTGATATGTGTCCAACCTGAGACTGCTTCCCTGCAGCCTCATGAGGTGAGGCAGTTATGTCATGTTCGTGTTCACACTGCGGTCCTCAGATCCACCTCCTCCCAGAAGCCGTTGTTCAGGGGATGGGGCCCTCAGAGTAAGTTTCATGATTTTCCAATGGAGAAGTTAAAATGCCATAATTTGATATGAAAATTATAGTAAATCATTCCTTTCTAATTAGTTCTAGTGGCAGAAGGGAGTGGAAGTACAGGCAGTGCATTTATAGTTAGCATTCGAATGTCGAGAGAAGCAAGAGAACCAGCAGACTCACTTGTGCACCTTTCTGCACACAGACATTTAGCAGCTGTGTTCCTGCCTGGTCCATTCTGAGCCCATCCCTCCACTTGGCAGTAAGTTCCTTGCAAAAGGAACAGGTCCTCAGAAGAGGTTCCAAAGCTAGTGCTCCTTTCACTACCACTCCTGGAGAGTGACCCAAGGTTATTCTGAGTCATTGAAAATCAAAACTCCTGCTGAGAGGAGAATACAGAACCCAGGCTCAGCGGCATCAGCAAAGGCCAAACCCCACAGTGGTACGTCAAGCTGAATGCCAGCTGTCTCCCAGGCAGGGATCAAACCTCCCACAGCCCCAAAAGGCCGACTCTCCCTGCCGCTTTGTCTGGCAGGACCCAGAACGCAGGAGGTGCGTACCTTTGGCAGTGAGTACTTGGGCAGCTTTATCTGAGCGAAGGCCTCTCTTCGATAGGACACATAGTAGCTGGCTCTTCCACCAGTTGTTACCTGGATGATGGGGAAACACAAAGAGGTCAGATGGGGCCACGGATCACAGCACGAGTTGGAAGGTATCAGCCTCTCCATCAACAGCCACAACCGGCTTGTGACAACCTTTTAGAGAATATCTCTTGCTGGCTTTGAACCTCTAACCCCAAGGCACCCTGAGTTGCTCCCATGTCATCAAGCTTAGAGAATAAATGGACGATGACAACTGTCTTCCCCCATGGCTGGCGTTTTCTGTCAGAGCAGGGACTCTGTATTTGGTAGATGGGCTCTGCATACGAATGTCAGACAAGTAAGTTCGTGAACTCATCCTAGAAAAAGTGCTGCATACCTCATGGCTGAATATCACTGTGGTCACCTTCGAAGTACTCCCCTTGGGAAGCTATGCACCAACGCCAGCACCTAGTCCACCCTTCAAAGCCTTTTTCTGGAATGGCCATCAGAGCTGTCATCATATTAACCTTGATGTCCTGGATGTCATCAAAATGCCTTCCTTTCAATATCCTTTATCTTTGGATAAAGAAAGAAGTCATGGGGGGCCAGATCAGGTGAGTAGGGAAGGTGTTCCAATACAGTTATTTGTTTACTGGCTACAAACTCCCTCACAGACAAGTGCGGTTTGAGCTGGTGCATTGCTGTGATGCAAGAGCCATAAATTGTTGGTGAAAAGTTCAGGTCATCTAACTTTTTCACGCAGCCTTTTCAGCACTTCCAAATAGTAAACTTGGTTAACTGTTTGTCCAGTTCATACAAATTCATAATGAATAATCCCTCTGATATCAAAAATAGGTTAGCAACATCATTGAATAAGTTCACGAACTTAATTGTCAGACCTCATATGTACACACCTAATAAATATTTACAATTGAAAACAGAGAAGCTATTATGTGGGCTGTACCCATGATCTATTTATTTTGTCTTCTTTT